AATAACTTATAAGCGGAACAATCAATGACGGACAATTTCACACAGAAAGATGCAGAAACTTTGTGTCAATATTAAGAACAACTGCACTCGTATAACACCTTAATTAGAATTACTAGCTTAAGCTAGTGAGTGTCATATGTTGGTTGTGAAACAAATTGCGTGATTTGAGAATTGCGTGATTTCATTAGAATGCTAGCCTGGTGTTGATATATTTATGCCATATGGCCACCAAGTACAATAACTATCAGTATGCTAAGACTAGAACATACTCGTTTCTATAAAGTACAATTTAAACCGGACATGTTCGCCATCATGGCATGTATTTTGCCGTGAAATGTACGAGTATTTACGCGAAAAAAATTACAGTCAGTGACAAAGCAGCCTTGTTTATTTCCAAAAGGCAACTAAGAAACCTAACTGACCAATTCTTAAAAATGCATGACAAATTTTACATATACTCAGTTTACACAGTCCAAACATGTTACATGTAGCACTATGCAATTGAACGAGACGAAGCATGTTTGGGAACAGTTGCCTGTGCCGTAAAACTAACTAAATGGAAAAATGACTAAATGGAAAATCTGATAAAACTGACTAAATGGAAAATCTTACCTCCGGAAAATTTGCAAATACCATGGCCTGACTTGCCAAAACGAACTGCGATAGAAAATTGTATCTATCCACAGATGAACGCTGCGAGTCGTCACCAGTATCACCGTCAAGAGGAAACTCTAATCCAGGGCAGAGCATTTGGTTCACTTTCTCACCGAATAGCACATTGTTGGCGCACTGATTCGACAATGTTCCAGCAAGAAAATGGCACATAACATCAAAATGCCTCTGACGACAGTGGGGTATGGACGATATATGAATGGTCGACCTTGGCAATGTTTATTCCATCCCCTCCGCTTAAATTACCAAGCCATTCAAAGCCAAAATCGCGTGGCTTGATCATCTTTCCGTTTTCGTCAAGGAACACGTCCTCGTTCAATGCCCATATCGACTGACCTTTACTGTTGGTGTTTTTACCGACGATGTACACAGCTTTTAGTATTTGATCTTCATCAGGCAAGGCGGTTTCGTCTGCAAGACCAGTCAGTAGCTTGTCCAACGTTACATTAGTAACTTGAATCGAGTACTTGCGCAGGCTGGTGTCGTTGTAGCTTAGTTCTTTTAAGAATTGGTTTATATTCCTGAAACTACTCATCGGGGAAAAAAACTTTCTGAAAAATCAATGGAAATTTCGATTATTATATAATGTGCTACCTCAGGCCTAGCTTTCAAGATAAAGTTAAAAGTTCTTCTCCAATTGCTAAATAAAAACTACTTAAAAATCTAAAACTAGCTTGATTGTTCTGTCGTTCTAAACGCCCAAAGACATATATAGGACTCATTGAGCAGCGTATATATACAAACACAAACAAGAGAAAGTATTTAAAAACATGCACTATATATACTATCTGATCGAGAAAAATTATATCAGAAATGGACAATTTCTTACTTTTCTGATCCACTTTGATGAGTAGCAAGACCAACATATCCAGTTTTTTCTCCAGCGTGAACTGGGTAGAGGAATTTTAGTGTGCAGTTAGACACATACCCACTGCCTTCGGCCGTTCTTTGCACTTTGTACCTCATGTCGTGAATACATAATTCAACCGCACTCATTTTTTCAAAATTGGGAAGATGTGAAACGAATTGTTCCGAACAGTTTGGAAGGCTTCACGAAAATGGCAGTTATTTGCTGTATCCAACTCTTATTTAGTACGATTAATAATGATGCGTGCCGGCAGCTTGCTATCCTCAAGTGGGATAATGCACCAAGCCCAATGAATGTTTCACGATTTTCGCATGCAGGCCGACATATTTTAGACGGAATGCAGGAGTAAATAATAAAATAAACAAGATGGTGCTTGTGCACGCAACTCTCTCATAACACAACGGTGGGAAAATACATGCATAAAAAATGTTTTGATTGTGATAATTTAAACTGCGGCTCGTTTGAGAAACAAGTGCAATTCAGTGATTTCATTTAACGTTATTTTTAGTAACGTTCGTGCATTTCATGTGAACTTGCGGAAAGGAAAATATAAACTTTATTAAATTAAACTATATGACATAAACTGATAGACAAGAGGAAATTTCATTTCGAATGATATCATAATTTTTAATCTACTTATAGACAATATAGTTCTTGTTTTGCGAATATAGGAGATTTATACATTCTTGGTATATTCCTTTTTAAAACTATTGATATGTCGGGTACTCGGGTATAAATGTTCGTACTTCGCAATCTTGTTAGAAATTCATAATTAATACACCACTCAGAATCTATAGCTTCTTCGAATACTAATAACATTCGGAAAGTTAGAATTATCATGCGTGATTTATACTGTTGTAGTCTTATACAGGTGCCATTTCCTGTTATTTTTGTTCTCCACTAAAATCTAGCTTGGCCCGTGAATTAAAATATACGACAAATATATACATGGTTGCAGTAAAACTTGTATATTTTTCTATAGTTATATACAATTATAGCTAGGACTAGGGTTAGTTTTAGGACCGAGGTCTCGACCGAGTTTAGTAGCTATATAGTATAATATATACATCATCACTGATGATCGACTAGCATATACATGCATCATTAAAATATTTTTGCAATATCCTTATATTATTATGTGTAACTTTCATATTTATAATGTTTATTTTTTTTCTGACACGCAAGGTCGCAATGCCATGCAATACTATATAAACTGGAATTCAGCAGATTTTTAAGATTGTTCCTTATTATTGAATTTCCTGGTATTTCCTGTTATTAACGATCTGTTATACCTAGCTACACTGCATGTTCAGTTTGCAAAAGGTATATAGCAATATATAATTTTGTGACCATGACGGAAAAACGTTCCTTTTTCCAAAACATTCGAGATAAAAAGCGATCTCGGAATGAAATAAATGAAGCAGTGTCAACATTGTTGAACTTATCTCTTGAAGACATGGAATACAGTTTTACCAGTGTTCAATTGGAACAAACCCATATGTTAGCACTCCTTGTATTGCGCTTTGGTGTAATGTCGCTGTTCTTGGCAAGCATATCAAACTCTTTCCGTATTAATATGAACATTTGATCAAACTCGGGTCCTGTCTCTTTGGCCAACAACAACGCGCGCCATACAATAACAACATGGCGTCCAGACCTAAGCGAACTTTAAAAAAACCTCAACGTTTTGCCGACGAATTCGTTGTTTCAAACATAAAAGAGCGGGTTAAACGACCGAAGAAAGATAACAATCTCTACGAAGTTGAGGTTAAAGAGGTTGAGCAAGAGAATAAACGTGTGTGTATACACTTTAAAGGATGCGATTCGATGAGTGGCGGCCATATGACCGAGAAGGCGAATATTTTCCATTCATTCGTCATGAAAAACCGCGAGTTTTGACAACGATGTCGTTAGTTGATAGAGCTGACCATTTCATTGATGTTGTGTATTGTGGTATTAAAAGGAATTTGAACTCTGGACGAAAAGATGACCCAGCTGTTTGTCTCGAAATTGATGTCAGCGAGGATGTGTTTACACGTGTACTTGGCAGTGTTGCAGAGGGTGTTATTGAAAGAGGTAGATTAATCTACACTATTTCGTCAAACCGAGTGCTTGATGATATTCTTGGGCAGAAATGGGACGAAAGAATAGTAAATATCCGTGGTGATTACTGCTTTGTGATTGAAGGGACTGTAAAATTTTGGTTGGGACAGAAGTCATCAATAGTAGAGTACAAAGTTATTGGGGGAAAATATGTTAAGACTGAAATCGAAGACTGTTCTCAGTTAGTTTTTACATTTGTAAAAAATAATGGAAACAGTGTACAATATAAGCGAAGGCATTAATAAGACATAATATTGCATTTGCCACCAAATCTAACCCTTAATGTAACCCTAACCAATCCCAACCTTAAAACTAAGTTCTTGCACTTCACTTGGTGGAATTAATATAGGATGTTAGGGTTTTTATTCCAAAATGAGAATATATACATTTTAAGACCTAGCTAATGTATATATTCTCACTTGGATTACAAACCCAAATATCCTAACCTTAAAACTAACCTTATCCTTTCCCAAAAGCTATCCCTAAAACTAATCCTAACCCTACCCGAGACGCTGGCAAATTGACAGTTCTGAAACGATAGTTGGCAAATGACCGGATACTGGTAAACAGCGACATTTGAAAAAACATTGAAAATGTCAAATGCTCCTTAGCCAGCATGGCCGGCTCTTTTATAGGTAGAGCCTGCTCGAAAGCTCTAGTCAAATTGATCACTCTCGGCAGCCAGCCGCCGAGAATTGTGATTGGCTGAATTTACTTTGACGACAGTTCGATTGACATGTTACACTAATTTATTCAAATATAGTAAAAACAAACGGCATCGCTATATTAAAGTTGTAAACCTGTCGGCTAAATTTGACTAGGGCTTTCGGGCAGGCTGTACTTATAAATAAGCCGGCCACGCTGGCTAAATCCTCCTGTGTTTGCCTGCCCTCCCAGGGGTAAGTTCAATTTTCCTGTAAAATACAAATAGACACTTTAGTTCATTTCTAGCACAGTATTGTATAATAAAACTTTTTAAAACCACCAAATATATATTTTTAAAATGTGCTTACTAGTCTTCCCCCTTTCCTGTTAAGATTTAAAGTTTTGAAAATATTTACAAATCAATGACATCAACTAGTTATCAGTAGGTACAGTGCACTTAGGGTGATATTTTCCATTATGCTTTACAAGATGTGCACAACAAGTTGTACTTTTGCAATTATTACATTCAGCAGTGCATGTTTTTATTGTGTGTCCTATATTGTTGCAATTAGAACAAGTATATTTAATTTTAACCCTAGCACAGCCAGCTGCCTCCAAATACTGTACTCTGTTCTTTTTGAGTAAAATCTGTTCAAGTGCAGAAACACCCCTGTGGTTACTTGATCGAAAAAAATTCTTAGAAGTAATGTCATTATATTTTTCCATGCCCTGTTGTGTAAAACATTCGAGGTTGGTTGTATAAGCTCAGGAACTCGGGCACATGCGCATAAAGTGCATGTATGTAGGGTGTCACATCTTTTGCTTGATAAACTGTTAGATGGAGTTCTAGCCAGGAGGTGATTTTTTTTTTGACAACTTCCACATCATCTGAATTAAAATCATGCTTCAAATCCTGTCTAATTTTCCAAAAGTCATCCCAAACTTTCTGGATTGTCTCTTTATCTTCTGAGTTCGGCAATAGAAAAGAAATGTTTATGTTTTGAAAAAGTTTTACCTTCTCTGGCCCTGTCAAGTCACGGTATTCCAACTGTTTTGTTTCTTTTCCAACATACCAAGAAAATGGGATACCTAACTCCTGCAAGAATGTCTCGTACGTTGACATGTTCCTGTACTTTTCTCTGCAGAAGCCATCAGAATACTTGGTTTTCTTTTCAATGGAGTCACAAACTTTGAGCTCTCTTATCAAATGTCCAATGAGATTATCAGAAACTCTTAGGAAGAGATGAAGTGTATCAATTACCACATGGCTAAGAGGAATGAAAGGGAAAATGGGTTTGGACTTACAATTAAATTTCCTAGATCTGGCATATTGCTCAATTTCATTTACTGTCCGGGCACCATTGTCGGGATCCAAAATTGACCAGTGTTTGGTTGTGTCACACCGGTCTAGTCGAGCACATTTGCACCATATGCATGCATAATCAGCATTCGCAGCCCCAATTCCGCAAACACAAGCAAGAAACTTCCAATCCCCCCCAAGAAAATATTCAAAATAAAATGTTTCATTGTCAACAGATATATCTTTTAAATCCTGCATTTCCTTAACTATATCTGATAGACTTTCAGCCAATGTATCATAACTTTCTGTTGTTCTAAGTACTGCCAATATGTAGTTGCCCCTTTTGCTCATTGCTAATGTTTTCTCATTTAGGATGGTGAAAGTTATGTTAACAACACTTATTCGGTTCCCAATGTTAGTGCCATCCCCACTCAATTTTATTTTAATCCTCTCTCCATCCTGAATGACACCACTGACCTTTAGTCTCCTGATATGTTCCACAATAGTTTCCCGGAAACTAACCTGTACTCCTTCTGCCTTTCCTGGGGTGGATCTTAAATTCCACTTTTGGTTTAACTTTTTCATGTGCTTTGTGATTTTGTTCAAACATGGTGGATCATCTGATGCCATGGAAATTTCACGCCATGCCTCATTCGATATGTTGAACTTATCTTTCAGATATAGCCACATATTCATTTTATCCATGTCCGCTTCACTGATTTCCTTGCTAGTCTCATGGTTTGGTTGAAATTCATCATCCTCGATAAAATTGAAACTTTCGACCATTCCATTGTTGTGGTTGTACAACTCAATTCGTGATGGTACATAATCATACTGGCCAAGAAATGACAATGTTGTTTGACACTGCTCTTTCAACTGTTTTCGAATCCTTGCCTGGTGCTGTTTGGAGTATTCACTAAACTTTTTCTTTTTGTCTGGGCCTCTTGATTTTGTATTCCTGCTCAGCTTGGCCACCTTATTTACTAATTGTTTAAACCTTTTCTTGTATGCTTTCTTATTTTCCTTGACTGTGTTTGTTACATTATTGAGGTTTTCCTCTACACGCATCCTTTTGTTGGTCACTTCCTCCAAGGATTGTTCGAGAACCCTTTTCTCCCTTTTTAACTGCTGGTTTTCATGCTGTAGTCTTACAACTTCAAATTCACTGTAATGTATGGAAAAACTATATTTTGGACCCAGTTCCCACTTATTCATGAGCCTTCTAACTGATTTCCCTCCTGCACATTTTGCACGTTTAAAGGCTGAATATAGATGTTCTATCTTCCTTCGAAACGCTTTTAATATTCGGCTGCCAATGATAACACCACGTATTCCAGACTCAATCAAAATATGGTCAACAACTGCACCTAGCCATGACGTATAGGTCTTGCCATCGTCTTCTGTTCTCTCTTTAGTCAGCGTATAAATTAACAAACTGTAAAGTAATAAAATACCAAAATAATATGTACCGCAATTCCCAAGCCGTGTACATATTTCAACATTTGTGAAAATTTAAAATTTGGCGGAATAAGCGCAACTATAAAGTATTACAATTAGTACAAATATAAACGTTACCTTACTTGCTTATCTCGTACGTTTTCGTCGGACCGAATTCTGCATTTATATCATCATTACCAACAGCGGAAACTGTATGAATTAATGTTGTAAACAATATGCAAATGGTCAGCAAAATCCCCAAATGCTTATAATACAAGGCCATTAGTCCGAGAGTAATTCGCGGCGAATATGTATGAAGTTAGTATCAAAATACACGCCAAAACACGTAGATTCCAAATCCGTTTCTGAAAATGAAGTTATGTACAACAGTGGAAGCACTAGACCGGTTTTCTCGCCACTTCCGCTCTACACGGCAATTGTTTATATATATTCTTAGTATAGCGCGCGACTTCAACCCCCCGAGTCCGACTCCAGATTGCAACGAATCTTTGTCAAAATCGTTGTAGAAGGCGTAGAATGCGTCCAAATTTTATATTCCGTTTCAGAAAATGTACTTTTTTTTACTTACAAAGCACATGAGCGAAAAAACTGCATATTTTGCATGAAATTATGTAGCACGCCGTTGGGGGTATGTAACTGTAACACGATAAGACTTTTTGTACACGGAGAGTTTGATATGATACGCAATAAAGAACATCCCTATGGCGCTGCCCGTCGATATGAAAAAGAAAATTTTACAAGCTATTTTCCCATCTCTAGCTACAGCTGAAGTGAACTTTCTAATACGTAACCTCCCTAGAGTGTCCGACTTCATGGACGATGCAACACTTGAGGATAAAATCAACCACGCATGTTCATCCACCGGTATTCCATTCTGCGATATTTTATGTCCCCCAGTAGAAAATTGTACGAATTGTGGCAGAAGACTTACTTTGCATAATCAGCCAGTCCATATTACAATTTTCAAAATTGCAGGTCGGGTACAAGGTATCAAAATTACCTCCAAGTGCCAGCCTTGTGGGCTGATTTATAAATATGCACAGCATGGTAATGAAAATGTAGGGTACCAGTTTTACCAAGAGAGACGGTCATTGGTAGAAGCTAGCAATGTTGCTTACTTTGAAAGACAACTGTGCCTTTATCAAGTATTTCTCAGGTACGTTTATCTTATGTTGCATGCCATCTAAAATATATTTAGTATATATATTGATTGTTTTATTGAGTGTATATCATGTAAGTCAGTGCGATAGGCTATATAGGCTATTTTTATACTTTGCAATTGCTTAAAGCCCATCATGCATGCACTACATGATACTAGTCGTATATATACGATTGCGGATGTTTTGGCATACGAAAACGACAGCTTGACGGCCATGCACTATTCCTGCATGCATGCATGCATGTTCATCATTCCATATATAGCGAAATTTGAAATGTGACATCTTCAATTCGAGTACTGCATACGCCATGATAAGAGACTAGTCGTATCGCTTATAGATGCATTCATGGGCCTTAAGTTATTGCTTGCCTAAACTCTAAAATTTCTATCATCATATTATAACATTCATTTTCTTTCGAAATTTTCAAAAGTAATCATGCATGGGTGTCGTATATTGGATTTACTGAGGCCTACAATGATGCAACTGAAAATAGTAGTTCAGGTACTGTAATCCAAAGTCTAAATACAAAATAAATATCAGTTTTGTTCATTTTATCTGTTTTCAATTGCCTTTTGATATGCATGCATGCAGTTTTACTAAGTCTTGGTCGTTGGCAATTTTTAGATGCATGCATGTTGCTTGACCGCAGAATAACATCAAGTGCATTTATTATGCACGAACTTGAGGAAGAATGCCGTGAGCGAAACTTACAGTGGAGTTTTAAGGGAGCAAAGGAAGATGCAATTGACGTTCTGATGGATAAAATAGAGAAATTACGTTCATCTGAATTGTATATACACAAGGAAGAAGATTGCTCTGAATTATGCAGGAAAAGAGGTGACGCGTTCATCTGTATTACAATGTCTATAACTATGACACGATTGTTTTGTTTAAATGCAGTTAAAATATACTCTAAGTCTAGGCGGTCAAAGAATGATGCAGGTAACTTCTTTTTAGGGCTTTTAATAATCCTACTTGTACATCTTAAGTGCTTATTATCTGTCTTGCCATGCAGCCATAGTTACAGGGCAGTACACAGGAATTTTTCACCATGTGGGCAGTAAGGCCTGTATGCCGAAAAAGTCCCAAATACCCAAAGATTGTAGTGTACGGTCAATGCAAAATTCACACGTTTTAGGTCGTAAGAAGTTACCCATCACATCTTGCGCACTTAGAGTTTAAGGTTTAAGATTTTTTAGGGATAACCATTTTTGAAACAGCTGTAAACATCACAAAATTATCCGGCTAAGGCTAAGCCTTAACTATACCTAGCTAAATATATGCAGAAAAATAAAAGCTAACAAAATTGTAAAAATAATATGATTGTAAAAATAATATGATTGGTGCATGTGAAAGGCACTTTCAAATATTGCAATTTTTTACTTTTTTCATATTATCAGTTATTCTCGTTGTCATCAGCTGTATTATATATTATATTATAAAAATAAAAAATATTATGACATTATATATTATATTATTATAATATTATAATATTATATAATAATATATAATGATCATAATATTTTTTATATAGTACTATTATTATTTATAGTATTATTATCAAGAATATTAACATGCTATATTATTATATTTACTTTTATTATTATTATTGTTCTTATCATGACATTATTATTGCTGTTTTTCTTATTATATAACTGACAATATTAAATAGGGCTTTCTCATGTTTTAAATATTAATATAGGTTGTGAGATCTTTGTATCGATGGACGGAGTTTGGAAACTCAGATTTCCTCATTGTATGTACCCTGTGAAGGCGGAGATTGCAGGTTTTTCTGCGTTAAACTATCCAAATGTGTGTACAAAGGAACCGGCTTCGCAGAATTCAGCGTTTTGTATTAAACATTGTGAGGTCGCCAGGGAAGGAAACATACCAACTGGTCTCCGCGATTTTATCCACAAGTACTGTGGGGTATTTTATCGTCAAGGAAGGTAGTTAACCACCCCCCCCCCCCCCCACCTCATTATTAATTATTCTTTGGATATTTGGGACTTTTTTCGGCATATGTAGGACTTACTGCCGCCCTGGCCCTAGTGAAAAAATCCTGCGTACGGCCCATCCAAGATGTATACGCACACAATTAACACACTGGCCTTTTTTGTTTTTAGAAACAGAGAACCTTCGGGCAAGCGATGGTGAAATCATCGAAATGAAACTTGAAAATATGTCGGGCAACGAAAAACTTCCTGCTACTACTGCTGAAGCTCAAGGTAGCTACAGTTATAGGCCTACTATAGGATAATATCCACGCATCATATCGTACTATTTACTAAAAAGCAGTTGCTATAGACTCTGCAATTTTCAGTGCACCTTGCATGTCTCACGGCAGCTAAACCCCCGTTTCTGAAAGAGAAGCCTTAGCTAAATGTGTTACACTATGGATTTTTTATGCAATTGACTTGTCTGGCAAGAGAAACAAAAAACAAAATGTGGTTCACAAACCAGTTATTTACAGACGGTTTACTTACTCGTGCAAAATTAGTTATTGCAAGGCAAGTTGCAAAAGGGATGTTTTAGTGTGCATCCCTACTGTGTGCAATATTTGCTGTAACTTGTTATGTCTATGAGACATGATGATTGCGGGGAATGTCACGCAATATGAAAATTGCATGGGATCATGCTTTTCTAGTGTGCGAGATTGAGAATGTATATAAAGTAACATTGTGATACATCTTTGCTTGTAGGTACAAAGGACTTTTTAGCCGAAAATGCTGCGTTGTTAACTATGCCTATGGACACGAGCCAAATACAGGGGCAAATAGATGTTTGCAACAAGGATACCGGAGGGAAAAAGACGACTTTACAAAAATGGTTGCATCATTTGGTACAAGGTGGTGGAATAATTGACAAATTTGATGCTTTATTTGTGTAAGTTTCTTAGGCCTGTCTTATACGTCGAATTTTGGTCGCGTCGAATGCAATTAAGTTAAGACAACAGATAATGAAATGATTGAATTGCATTCCGTCGACGCGACCAAAATTCGACATATAAAACAGGCTATATGTGTGCACAATTGATGAGTGCAGCAGGTTCAGCTTTAATTCCCGGCAGCTTTAATTTTGAGTGATGGTATAGGATTTTATTACCAATAATTAATTGTATTTTTGTTTTTTATTAATTTGCAGCTCTGAGTCTCCTAGCCAAGTATTTTACCTTACGCTTCACTACCTCTATCTTCGCCTCAAAGATCTACCAGAAGACCAATGGGAGCATTTTATTTTGTCATATGACAACATGTGCAATGTTGACAGGCTAATTGCTGCCAGAAGTCCTGTACCTTTGCCTGAGCCATTTGATAAGATGTGGCTAAAAATTACAAAAGTGATCGATAGGCTGCATCTAAGAAATCATAAAAATCCAGAATGTGCCAAGAGGTATTCAGCCGAGCCTCTAAAAGAAATCCACCCCAAATTGAACACAATGGTGGCAGAGCAAACGTTCACGTGGGCCTCACGGTATAAAAAAATACTCTGCGCTATGCCTCAACGACGCTTTCTCTTTTACTACCACTGAATGGTAGTTAGGAGGAATAGATACATATGTAAATGTTACAAGGCCAATAGAGACCCTGTTTTACCCAAAGTTACTTCTGTATTTTCAACTTAATAATGTTTAACAAAATAGATTATAAACAGATGACAGTCAAACGCATTCATTTGATACTGCATGTGGGGTTACTTTAATTATTTATTTGAAATCTTTATACATGGTAATTTTCAGCAATATATACATATATATAAGTAACATGCAACAATAAATTAAGAAAAATGAAATGCTGCTTTTCAAAAGGCTGTGTGATCATGGTAAAATTACAATACGGTACAGGACAATATATAATTACACGTCTAATAGATTTAGTACACTATTTTTACTATAACCCGCGCTATATCAATTCATTGAATCAAGCTATACTTTGTTTCTTTCTGAAATACTCTGCATGTGAGTTCCAGACCAGATGTTGGCGGCAGCATATAAACTGAACCTTAGGCTTAGCATTAATAATAGTGGCGTAATAATATAGTGGCGTTTAATACTGAAAGGTCCATACAGACCGAACGCGATTCGACAACGCGACGCGAATTTCAATGACATTTAACTTTATTTATTTAATAATATTTATGTAATTCAAATATTCAGAGCCGTTTAAGCAATTTTAGCTATTTGGTCTGCATATCTTGTAAAATTTTTATCTGTTGACGGTTTTATTTGTTTTTAAAAACTGAAAATTTGCGTCGCGTTGTCGAATCGCGTTCGGTCTGTATGGACCTTAATAGTAGTGGCGCGATAACATTGTTATTTGAACATAACTTCAACGTTACAAAAAGATTATACAGTATTACAACAGAGTCAGACTGTTATGTGCGTGTTAATACTGTTAGGGTTTACGCGTCATTTAACCATAGTTAATAGAAACGATTTAACGAATAGTCAGATCGAATATATTATATACATGCTTGTCTGTCGTGTGAACAGCCCGCAAAATACTTTTGTGTAGGATGGAACTCTCACAGTAACACAGTTCACGTCGCTGGTCTTATTTGGCGTGATCCATTCAAATAGATTATATTACACTACACGACACAAATCATTCCTTCTGAGTCAGACAGATAATTCGACTGTTATGTGCATGTTGTTTACGCGTCATTTAACAAATGGTCAGGGTTTATGCGTGCTGTCCTGTGAAAAGCCCGTAATTGGTAAAATACAAATGTGTAGGATGAAACTCTCACATTAACACAGTTCACGTCGCGGGCCTTTATATTTATTGTAAAATTAGACCAGAACTCATTCAGTGATCCATTGAACTCATCCAGTGATCCATTGGTTTGTGATAAATTCAACCACAACAGGAAACAAATTTGACAAGGAGCACTCAAAACATCCGGTGTAGCGCTGTAGACCTCTACACGCAACGCTACGCCAAATATCTGATCCTAAAACTTGACGCAGTTGTGAAAGACTATTTCCGAATGAATATCACTGATGAATTAAAGAGAAAATTATTGATCTTATGTCATTGAATGACCCGGTGATAACCGATCTATTTTCCAAGCATGTTTCGAAATGTTTTTATATCAGAGACAACAGCCCCTAAACCAGAAATTTCTATATATTATATTACCTTACCTTCCCTTTTCTATATTTATTACACTCTTTCTAATACTTTCTATTCTTAAATTTTGATATTTGTATTTGCCATATACAGACCTCTCAACTTTGCAGAGAAGTTAAGAGTGAGATTGGGGATGTGGATGACACTTTTGTAAAAGTCCGGGGCCGGGGGGTCTGAAATGGCATTTTGTACATTATGAGAGTTGGTGTTTTTTAATGAAATACGTCATTGCTTCATCACGTCCTTTATTGAGACAAGGCACTTTAGTTACAATAACTGTATTTCTGTGACATGCAGTAATTCTGCCTTTTGTCCGCCGTATTTACATATGCGTACTATTTTGTATCCATGCAAATTGCGGGCAAAAGCCAAAATGTCGGGCCGTATATGCAGGAACAATAACGCGCGATTATATATTCGATTCGCGATCCGTATAATGATTAATAATGTGCATTTATTAAGAATATAATGTTATATTATTGAAAACATACTATGAAACTGCTATATGCGTGAGATTTACTAAACGTGGCGTGAGAGTGAAGCGAATTGTGTGAGACTCACGCCGAATGTGTGAGAGTTGAGAGGTCTCCATATATCCTTCCTTTTGATATATAATTCAAGCAAATATTTAACAATTATACCATGAGCTTGAGTCGTATATGAGCTGATAGCCAAAGAGGTGCATAGCACCGAGTCGGCTATCAGCCATATACGACGAGAGCGAATGGTATAATTGTTTTATAATATAGTCTAATAGTCATTAACTGAAGCAATAATTAATTATCATCTGTTACAATGTCTTGACAATTTGTTCGGCCAAAGACCGCTTGGCCTTGAAAATTTGAAATACTTTTGTTTTACAACTTGAAGACGAAGTGAAAGAAATGGTTTTAGAACCGGTATATCTTACAGAAAAGCTCAGATATATTATACAGATGTTTGGTTGTATAGTATATAAGTGCTTGTTGACTGCAAATTCATTTGTCTTTCGTTGCAAACTTTTCTGAACAATTTATATTCTCAATGAACATGTTTTTTTCGCTGTTGTTTCGGTATTAATTCTTTAAAAAACTTGTATTTAAACTAATTTCTATGTAATAAATGTATTCTGTCAAAATTTTTGAGAGTTTTTCCTTGTACTATTATCTTTCTCAAAGCGAATATTGTCCTTTTCCTGCTTCGCAAAACTCATGTAGTTTTTCGACCGCCATCTTGTTTTTCGCTACTTGCCATATATGAGCTGATATACAGCGATTAATTCAACCAATCAGATTGCAGAACAGCTCATATAGGGTGAATGACTATATTATAAAGCAGTATATATTGTTTTTCGTTAGTTAAAGTAGTTTTTATACCAGTTAACTTTAATATTCTTATGATTACGCTTAGCAATACCTGTAATTAGGTCATGCAAACAAAGCTTATTAATAAAAAAAAAGTGCAAAGTGTCATGGGATAGCGTCGTTTCGAATTTTTGTGCAAAAAATTTGAAAGCACATTTAATACATGTCTTACATGGTGAAGAAACTTATCGAAATTTCAAACCCAAATGATGGAAAATGCATGGAAAAGTTCGTAAATTCCTATTCAGATCTCACAGGTAAGAATAGTTATATTTTGACTTGTTATTTAAGCACTTTAATTGCGACAGAATGTAGTGAAAATATGATTGTTACTTGAGCCATGTGTCTGAAATTCTGTTAAATATAATTTTGAATTTGCTGCGTTCAATTTACATAAAAAAACATACAAACTGTTGGTTTCTGGCAAGGAAAGAAAGAATAAAATATCAATTCGAATCTATTATAGTAGATTCTGTAGTAAATTGTGCACTAATGCACTATTAATATCAACAATTTAGCAATAATTGTCTTTGGCACATAATAATTTGGCACTTTTCTAGACCTTTGTCAAGGGTGTATAACTTAATAATAAAACGATATGAAATAATATATTAAACATACTTGTGCTTGTAACAATATGAAATAATTGAATGTGATATATCTGTGTATTGATCCTTAACCCATTAAGCTGCAACTGTGTTGCTAAGACAATTTTACTTGTCAAGGGGAGAGTCTTGCAAGCTCTTTATTAATGAGCTTCAGTTGTATAAAATGATTTGTTTGTAAAAGCTGGAAGATGTATGAGTGCGGAGACAATGCCTCAAATGTTCTCTTTATATATATATTTTCAGAATAATATTGGAACTGGATTATAGCCCAGTGTGCTCCAAATATTGTTCTCAAGTCTCAACAACCAGATCTGGATTGAGTTGACAAACTGGTGTTGTAAGGTAAGAATTAACAAGAATAATAATAGTCAGCTTTTAGTGCTTTCTATGAAAAAATCACAAACTGGCCCAGCTAAGGTGGCCACCTAGGCCAGACAAATCAGTCTTGATCTTATAAACAGCCCCTACAAAAATTTAGTAACTAGTAACAACATAATTACACATGAATCCTAAGTTTACCTCCAAATGCAGCCATTTTAAGCCTGTTAACACTGACACTGTGCTCAATTTTGGTACCTGTAACATGTTTACTATGCTTGGACTACTTATTCACACTGGCCAAGCACAGATTAATTTGGTACAGGTACCAGTTTTATCTTTGCCGTACCAAAAATTGAGCATAGCAGACCTGCCAACCTCCAACAGCAACAAATCTGGAGATCTGATAGAAAATTTCTTGAGATTGATGTCTTATTTCTGGAGATAAAATACTGAAAATCTGGGGTATTTCTGGATAAGACAATTACTGTAATCATTGCCTGTCGATGCCTGATCTATGTTCTGTGACATATATAGCAATTTTTAATTACTGTCCTCCAAAATAAAACTTTAACTCAACAGTTTACATACAAATTCAACCTGGTCTTAGTCTATACAAGTGTATTTTACTAATTCGGGATACTATTCCAATTTTTATCGCACACACCCCTGTTGAGGAACCTTGGAATTCCAGAGGAAGGGGATGATTCTCAACCACTGACGCACATTTTCAACCTTGGAAATTCCTAGGAAGGGGTAAAAATCAAGTTCCTCAATATGGGATGATGTGAATATAAAACAGGAATAGCCACTCCGGCCATTGGCAGATTTGAGAAGTTTCTGCTTCTGCCATTTTCTTGCAGTAAATTTCCCACTCTGCGCCGGCGATGCACTAAAGCCGGTTTTCCACTAGCGATTTTTTTCGCGCGAAGCAGTGGCGTGCTGGCAGGGGGGGCCGGGGGGCTGCCAATTCTTGCAGGGCGCAAAAATGAAAAGGGTGCGCCGATCCCGCACCGAGTTTTGAAAGTGGGTGGGAAAAAACGCATTCGAAAAAATATAGTTACTTCCGCCGAGAAAAAATGTGTTTATAGGCTTATAAACAGATTAAGCGCATAGGCGACTAAGTGATAT